CTTTCCCGCCTTGGTGCCTTTACCTGGGCTGTCCCCTGTGCCTGGAATGTATTCCTTTTACACTTCTCCGCCTCTTGGTGCCACCAGTATTACCTTTCCTGGTCCTGTTCTCAGTTTTTTGTACTCTCTTCAGCTACTTGAATTATCTCACTTACCTTTTAAATGTTTGTATCTTCTAGTAGGAAGAAGCGAAAAGGGAAGAAACATTTAGTAAGTGCCTACTCTGTGCCAGGCACGGTGTTCAGTATTATCTCTTTTGATCCTTACAGCACCCTGTAAGGTAGGTGATAGGATGATCCTCATTTTACAGTTGAAGAAACTGAGGCAGGCAGGGTCTTCTGGCTAGTAAAGTGTTTGAGGCTGGATTTGAACTCTAGTCTTGCTGACTCCAGGCCCAACCCTCTAGCCATTGCACCAGTGGCTGCCTCTAGTAGAATGTAAGCTCCTAAAGGGCCAGCCTACATAGTACCTAGCACAGAGGTTCTTAATAAATGTTGAATTTTATATAAATTTCATTGAAAGCTGATATATTCAGTATGATAAACAAGCATTTATTAATCAAGGTGTTGCTATACTTTTCTCAGTGCTTTACTTAGTCTACAGAGACCTGGCTTCAGGAAGGGCCAGAGAAGAAGCAGGCCTGGAAATAACAATTTGCTCGCTTCTCTACCAAAAGTGACACTTCTTTGTGCCAAGTAGAAAAGAATGTCACCGTATTGGTTAGAATATGGGCTATCGTTTTGTTTTTTTTTCTTGAATCTGGTTTCTTTCAAATTTGAGTGGTGCCTATAATTTTATTTTTTGCTATATACCTCTATACTTAAAAAAATTTCGGAGACTATTCAAAATAATTTGGTTTGATAGAACAATACACCACTTTAAAGGCTCTCCAACAGCATGTATACCTTGCATATGTCAAGATTATACAGGAGGCTTTGCAGATACAGCAGTAGAGAGAACCTTGTTTGGTAACCCTTTGTAATGAATCTAAACAAGGCATAAAATTGGGGCACGAAGGCTCAACGAAGGTGTTGGCTATTGGTGCGCAGGAAATTCAGTGCAAGTCAGTGAGAGATTTCCTATAGATGACTGGTCCTCCACATTCTCCCATTTGGGAATGACATTCTGTAGCATGTACCAGGCCTCACAACGTGCAGAGCCTCCAAAATTAGATCCAGTATCACTCTCAGGAGATGAGTGTAACTCTTAACACTGGCCCAACCAAGTGGATGAAGAAGGCCTCTTGTTCAGACTATGATGTAGTGTTAGATGGACATTCTGTAGAGCTCATCCATCATTATTTCTGTCTTGGACAGATATCAGTCAGCAAATATTTATTAAGCACCTGGGGATACAAGTACAGAGAATGAAATAAGTCTCCTGATAAGGAGCTGAGGACCTCATGGAGACAAGTACATAAAAAAGAAACAGCATAAAGTTAATGAATACAAATATATGCAAAGCAATTAACTACAGTGTAGTTTGGGAGGTTGGGCACTGGAGGGTGGTGGGATCAGGAAAGGCTTCTTGCAGAAAATGGTGCTTGAGCTGCATCTTAAAGGAAGAGAGAGCCTGTGAGGCAGAGGAAAGGAGGGAGTCATTCCAGTCAAGGGAGTCAGCTAGTTGCAAAGGTGTGGAGATAGTAGATGGAGGGTCAGTCATGTGTGAGGAACAGAGACAAGCGCAGTGAGGCTGGATTGCAGAGTGTGGGGAAGGGGAGTGATAAGCACTGAGGCTGGAAAGTTAGGTTGGAGCCAGGGCTATGAATGAGAGGCACCATGGCGTAGGGGATCTGGCCACAGAGTCTGGAAGACCTGGCTTCAAGTACCACCTCTGTCCCACACAGGGCTCTAACCTTGGACGTTTGACACCAAGTTCCTGCCTAGTGCCCTAGGCACTCTTGAAGGCTCTGAGTTGCGCAGCAGTTGCTGATCTGCATTTCTTAGTAGAACAAATGTCCTCATGGGGAGTTCTCTCCACCAATGTCCACTTAGCCTCCCTGAGCCCCGCTTTCCTTAACTCCATAATGGGGATCGTGGTAGCTATAGGACTTGCCTCGAAGGGTTGTTTTGAAGCTCAAGTGAGATAATCTCTACAAAACTCTTTGCAAATTTAAAATCTCGATTTAAATGTTAGTTGCAAGGGACAGGGAAAAATAGGTGTATCTAGGTATATGTGTACATACCTACATACGTGTGTGTCTAGGCAGTATGGAGGTCCCTATGGTTTCCCCCAGGCTATACCAGGAGAGCACAAGCTCTGGCAGGTCCTGCCACCCTGGAAAAGCTTTGAGTATGGGCTCGGTGAGATGGAGTGGGCTTTGAGTATAGGCCCCAATTGCAGTTTTCTGATCGTGGCCATATTACTGCTTGTGTTTGCATTCACAACTTAATGACAGGCTATAGCTGTCGTTTGTCAGAGGACCGACCTGGCTCAATCTGGACAGGCTCGTTGTCAGGTTGACTGCATTTTTTCAGCCGCAGCAAGTCTGGAAAATTATCTACAGAGTTGTAGAGAGAGGGTGCTCTGTGTTGGCAGAAGGAGTCCCACACTGATGAAAGCACAGGTCCTTGAAGTATTGGAGGAGGTCTGATAAGTTCTCTTAATATGCAAAGCTGTCTTATGATACTTTCTAAAGTGGCCTTTCTGAAGAGCATCTAATTCCTCATACACGTAACTGGAGATACTATGCAGGTAATGTCCTGAATAACATTGCCCATTTGTTTGAGATGCAAAACAGATCATTGACTGTCTTCTGAACTGTTTCTTGCTTGACCCTGGGAAGTGGTAGCTCCCCCAAGTTCACTTTGCTGATCTTTGCCATGTTGTGTTTGCATTCACAACTTCTCTATGGTGCTAACTGCCCCTGGTAATGTTGGTCAGCTGGCCATTGACAGTGTTGGGTGGGTTAAGTGGAGGTTGGGAAGCCAGTACAGGCTTGAGTAATTGTTCATTCTCCTTGAATTTTCTTGGCTTTTTTCCCTCAATTCCTAACTTTAGCTACATTAAGTTATCAGAGTGGTTGAATTCAATAATATAAAAAGTTATTCTTGTAGGTGTAGCATAGTTGCAGATATTCTGGAATTCAGGGTGCTATAACTTAAATTTAACAGATTAAACTGAATGTTTGTAATGTCTTAAATTTTTCCTTCTGTTTTCCCTTACTGCCCTCTCCTTCCAAGTTTTGGTTTAGTTTTTCCTGAATTATATCCAAAATTAAGGTTGACTTACATTTAGAATTTTATGATGGCTTATTGCCAAGTGCTGCTTTTTAATGGTTTATATTCTGTATATTTAAGGCCCTTGGTATACCCCCAAAGAATTTACCAAAACTATACTTCTTCAGTGAGGGAAGCTGGAGCTGATGGTTAATGTGGTTTTTCAATGGAATGCCAATATGTCAATTGCCTCAGTGTGCATATAAAAAGAATTAGGTACTTAGTGTATAGTATGATATGTGATGCTCAGTTAAATGCCTCCTGTGGAGCGCTGTCCTGTGCCAAAAAGGTGAGCCTGTATTATTTTCTTGAGATAAAGAGCTGAGCATCCTGGCATTGGATTACGCTAAAATAAAGCCAGTAGCATGAGCAAGTGGTCCTGTGCTTTCAATCTGTTGGTTGAAATGAAAAGATTAGCTGTCTCCAGCCAAGTGGCAGATGCCGTGACAATAGTGGACCTTTAGATAGCATTTTAGATTTTCAAAATGCTTTGTATAAGTTATCTCACTTGATGGAGCAGTTCCACAGAAACCCCGAGACCCTTCTGCATAGTTTCAAGATAGGTGACATACTGGAATTTTCCGATGGCAAGATTGCAGACTATAGGGACGTGATAGGTTTTTGTCAGTCCAATCGTCCCACGTAATGCACCGATGACGCGTCACAGTCATGTTGTTCACACGTTACAGCCAGAACCCATCAAGCTCCTGGCCCCAAGGTGACCTCAGATGTTCTTCTCCTTAAATCACCCCATTCTCAGGGAAACCTCTTCCCTTTATAACGTTGTCCCTTTGATACTAATTGCCTCCTGGAATATTGCTTCACCTAATGTGGGAATCAGTATTGCTAGGTGAGATATGCCAGTAGTGTGATGTTTTCTTTAGACAATAATCTCTTTTTCTAATATCACTTCAAAGAAGATCGAACTGATTTCTCGATTAATCCCATCAGGAGGGCCATCTTTTCCCTGCTTCCAGGCTTCCTATTGCTTTGACAGCATTCTCTGTTCTCCCTCTTTGCTTCAGTCTTTTAAGAAGAGGTGGTCATTGTTCTTACCACGGCCATCGCCCTCTTTCTGTGCCCTCATTCCATCCTCTATTGTCTCCTCTGGTAGTTTACCCCTATTTCCTTGTAGTCATCATTCTATATCCCCTGGATTCTTTCCAGCTTGCCTCCTTTCTGTTCTATGTCTTACACCTCTCTAGCTTGCCCCTCCACGTCTTTGCACAGGCTCTCTCCCTGTGCCTAGAATACTTTTCCTCCTGAACTCTACCTCCCGATGTCCTTAGCTCCCTTCTAGGCTTAGCTCAGGTGCTGCCCTACCTGTGTATCCCACATTTATTTCGCGCATAATCCTGGTTTTGCTTGTCTCTGACCATGTGTGCTCCTATTTGAATGCAAGTTCCTCGAGAGCAGGCTCTTGTCACTGTTGAATTTATATTCCTCCAGTGCCTGACGCATAGACTCTTAGTAAACGTTTGCAACAGTTGGCCTTTGGCCCAAGCCGTTGGTAAAGAAGAGTTGAATCGATGGCATTTGTTAAGTTGAGTTGACTCACAGCTATAAGTGAATCAATGGTCATTCATTTTTTTTCCTTAATACTTGACCCACATAATGAACTCTTTTCAAGATCCTAAGTTACTCCTAAAGTCTAATAATATAACAGTATATTGTGATAAAAAGGTGAAACTTTTTTTTGTTAAACTGGCTGCTGTACACAATGCTGATATAAACATTCTGTGGCCTTTACCTTCTGAATGATAATGGTGTGTATTTTTGTAGGTTTGCCGGAGTCCATTGTTGCAGCTGCTTGCTCAAGGAGTGGCCAGAGCGTTCTCCATGTTGATTCGTAAGTCTATCAGCTGCAGCCCTTTATACTTGCCAAGTGCTTATATGCCTGAAAAATAAGAATTGATACTTCTGCAGTTTTATAGTAGAAGGATTGTAATGGATGGTGTCCATTAAAATTGTGATATATTTACATACACACACATATATATAAAGCCATCTATGTATATAAGATATATAGAGATATATGTATATGTCAATATCTGTATATAGATGTTGCTATAGATATATACATCTATATCTCAAAATATTGCAACTTTCTGTCGAATAATATCTAGCATTTATGGAGCATTTTGAAGTTTGCTTAAGCGCTTTACGTGTTTCCTCATTTGAGGCTCACAGTCTTGTAAAGTAGATAATACTGTTCCCATCCTATAGATGAGGAGATTAAGGCTTAGTGAGATTCTGACTTGCCTGTGGTCACATGGTTAATAAGTGATAGAAACAGGATTTGAACCTAAGTCTTTGCTGACTTTCAGGTATAACACTGCCCCAAATCCCGATATTTCGTTTGATGATCTCATCAGCTCCCATGGATTTAATTACCTATCTATCTATTTAATTATCTATCCTGATGATTTGAAAATCTACCTTTCCTTCCCCAACCTCTCTGTTGATCTCTAATCCCAAATCTCCAACTGCCTGTTAGAGATCTCAAGCTGAATGTCCAGAACAGAACTCCTTATCTTTTGCCCTAAACTCTGCCCCCCTCTGCTGCCTTCCCTATTATTGTAGAGGGCAACCCCATCCTCACTGTTTCTCACCCCTCCTCCCCCCACATCCAAGCTGTTGCCAAGGCCTTCTCGATTTCACCTTTGCAGCATCTCTCCAGTAGGCCCTTTCTCTCTTCTCTCACTGCCACTACTCTGCTACAGGCCTTCAGCACCTCACACCTGTACTACTGTAGTAGACTGCTGGTGGCTTGGCCTGCCTCAAGTTTCTCTCTGCCCCAGTTCATCCTCCATTCAGCCACTAAAGTGATTTTCCTTAAGCACAGGTCCAGTCATGTCACGACCTCACTCAGTAAACTCCACTGGCTCCCCGTTGCCTCTAGGATCAAATATCAAATACTCTTTTTGGCATTCAAAGCCCTTTAGGACCTAGGCCCCTCCTACCCTTCCAGTCTCCTTATACCATACTCCCCAACATGTACTCTTCGACCCACAGTGACACTGGCCTCTTGCCTGTTCCACAAATAAGACACTCCATCTCTTGGCTCTGGGTATTTTCTCTAGCTGCTCCTGCTACCTGGAACACTCTCTCCTCAATTCTGCCTGCTGACTTCCCTGGCTTCCTTTATATTCCAACTAAAATCTCATCTTCTACAGGAACCCCTCTTAATTCTAAAGCCTTCCCTCTGTTAATTATTTCCTATATATGCTGTATCTAGCTTGCATTGGATATAGTTGTTTGCATGTTTTCTGCCCCGTTAGATTGTAAACTTCTTGAGGTCAGGGACTGTCTTTTGTTTCTTTTTGTATCCCTCGTGCTTAGCACAGTGCCTGGTACATAGTAGATGCTTGATAAATGTTTATTGAATGGTTAATACTTAATTTTATTTATGCACAGGAATTGATTTTTTTAGCAAGTAAATTATTCCTCAAGGGAATTGATTCCCCCACCCCCAGCCAAACTGTGTATATATCCTATATATGTATGCCCTTAGTGCTTTCTTCTGGACATCTTTGTGGGATTGGTACTACAGATAATATTATCATCCTCATTTTACAGATGAGGAAACTGAGGCTTATGGTTTAAGAGTTTCACCTCTGGTCACACGCACTTCTGAGAGGTTTCCTGATGCTAAATCGAGCATTCTTTCCACTAGATTTCCCAAGATAGCTGATTTCCGCCAATTGCCGCTCTCTAGGCATTCACATATTGGACTTCATGTGCCGTGGCTTCACAATTCATCTGTTGGTGCTTAGTATTCTGAGGATGTACGTCTCTAACATGCTAGATTGGTCCTCAGAAGGCAGTTTCTGGCCTGGCCCAGGCTCAAAGTCTTTCCGCCTTGGTGGAGGATCTGTCTGTCCTCGTTCTCCTCCGTTAGAGCCTTTGAAGAGCACAGGCCTGCCCTTTCCCTCTCCTGTTAGGGTAGGGCTCCCATGGGGAAAGGGAGAACAAAAAGAAACAGGCTGGGGACAGCCAGGTTGCCCCTTGTACTTTTTGCAATGTACAGAAGCAAATGATCTGTTGTGTTTTGTCATTTTTCAGTCATGTCCAACTCTTAGTGACCCCATTTGGGGTTTTCTTGGCAAAGATTCTGGAGTGGTTTGCCATTTCCTTCTCCAGCTCATTTTACAGATGAGGAAACTGAGGCAAACAAGGTGAAGTGACTTGCCTAGAGTCACACAGCTAGTAAATATCTGAGGCTGGATTTGAACTCAGGAAGATGCGTCTGCTTGACTCTAAGCCCAGTTCGCTATCCAATGTACCACCTAGCTGATCTACTACTAGTTTACTTTTTACCTTTTCCAAATTTATTTTTAACATATTTAATACGCATTTAACACATGTTAACCCTTTAATTAATAATTGGGATTTTCTGGTTGACTGAGAGCCAAGAAATATTTGAGGTGAGGAAGCTTCTGTGTTGGACTAGAGGACTTATGTCAGGAACAGTTGTATACATAATTGATTGGGTTGACCCCATAATTAATTATTTTTAGAATTCTAACCCTTTATCAGCCAACAATAGCCTCCATTGGTCAGGGTCCACATGCTTTGCAAGAAGCCTCATAAAAATGCAAAGTGAAAGTTGTTCTGGTCACTTGAGTTCAGCAGACTAAACCTAGAGGAGGAAAAACCTTTCCCCAAACTGCATACAAAACCCAGAAACCTTTAGAAGTCTAGGAGAAATATGCCAGGTCTTTGAAACGGAACTGAAGCATCCTTTTTCTTTTTGTGTGAAGACTTCAGATCTGCAGCCTTCTCCGGGGCATAGGTCTTTAGCGCATAGGCCTTCCCAGATATCTCGCCAGGATTTCTGGGTTCACTGTGGTACTGTTGTTTGGAAGTGACAGTCATCTTGGTTCACTTGGGTTATTGCTGTAGTACATGATGCGACTATTTTAATTGTTAGACTTCCCCCCAGTCCTCAAATGTCTCCTTTCTGAACAGAGCTCCAAGCAGTAGGGTGTATCTTTGGGTTATTTTTTGGTTAGTTTGGTATATATGTTAATGGATTGTCCCCCCTTCATTTCTAATTGGTGGCCAAATATTGACAATTCTGTCTCTACAACATTTCTAGTGTCTTTTGTCTGTTGTCTTCTTTCTACTCAAAGGACCACCACCATAGTTCAGGAATTCCCTTTCGCCTGTTGTAATGGCCTCCCGATTGGTTTCCATAGGTCATTTTTCTCCTGTGCAATCCATCCTTTGCCATGCCTACCAAAATCTACTTCCTCATATGCAGGGGCCTGACTTAATTCAAGAATCTTCAGTGATTTTCCATTGTCTGCTGGATAAGTTACACAGTCCTTAGCCTGGTGTTTAAGGCACTCTCTAATGTATCTCTAGCAAATCTTTCCAGTCTTATTTCTTACTATTTATGGACCTGCCAAATTAGGATACTAGCTTTTTCCTGAACTGAAATCTCCATGTACCATCCCACCCCCCCGCCCTGGGCCCCCATGCCTTCATATGGGGTATTGTCTCTTCTGCCTGTGACGCGCTCCTTGCACATCTCTGCCTCTCAGAATCCTCATCTTCCTTCAAGTTTTCTTTCCAGTGCCACGACCCTCACGATTCCTTTTGATTCTTCCTCACTGGTGTCCCTTGTAACATACCGATTTGCATCCAGTTAGGAGTCCCCAGTAGAATATCAGTTCCTTCTATCTTTTGGTCTCAGTGTCCTCGGTGGCCTACCACATTGCCTTGCATTTAGTAGGCACAGTAAATGTTGCTTGAATTGAATTACTCCTAGGTTCTGCCTTCTGGGATCAAGCAGAATAAATCTAATTCCTCTTTTATCCAGTAGACCTTCTAATAAGACTGTTGTCAGGCATTACCCATGCTCTCTCCAACCCCGGATATTCTCTTAAGCTTATAAACAGCCCTAGTTTCTCCAGTTTATCTTCATATGACACGATCTCAAGGGCCTTTACTATCTTGTTTGCTCTCCTCTGTACCTTCTTTGATCTATTTATGTTATTCCTAAAATGTGGCATCTAGAACCAAATGAAATATTTCAGCTTTGGTCTGTCCAGCATGTAGTATACGGGGACCATCATCTCTTAATTTTTGAACACTTCCCATCTTCGGGCGGCTTAAGATTCTATATACTTTTTTGGGCTATCATCACACTGTTGATAGCATCCCAGAACCTGTGTTGGAAGGGACTTAAGTGGTCGTGTATTTGGATTTCTACAGGAACAGTGATCCCCTCCATGTGGATGTTGAGCCTTAGCTTGAAGCCATCTAGTGAGAGGGAATCTGCTACATCTCAAGGCAGCGCATTCCACTCTTGTGTAGCTCTGATTGGTTGGAAGTTGGTCCTCACATCAAGTCTAAATTGACCTCTTTGCAACTTCCCTGCTTTGCTCCCAGTTGTGGCTGCTGGGGTTAGGCAGAACAAGTCCATTGTCCCAAGTAAAAGCCTGTCAGTTACTTGACCAAAGCTGTCATGTTCTAAGTCTTCTTTCTGTTCTCCAGTATAAACATTCCTTATTTAGTCCTCATAGGGCATGATCTGAAGACTTTTCGCCATCCTGATTGCCCCCTCCCTCAGTTGCTCACATCCTACTGGAACCCAGGGCTCCAAGATGAATGAGCTGGACAATGGCAGACTCAGAATGAAGCCACGTCCCCCCACTTCTGGAAGGGAGAGGCAGGGGCTTTCCTATTGGCCACAGAATATGAGATGTCCTGACTGTCTGGATGTGGAGAGCGAGCATTTGCTTCTGTCTCCCCAGAGAGACTTGGGACCAAGGTTGAAGTCTGTCTTGACTCCATCTGCTTGACCTTTCTGCTTAATTGGAAACAGGGATCATTCCTAGT